ATAAGGAACATAATTTGTGCTCCTGTACTAATTAGAACCTTATTCCTTGCTTTAATTTTTCTGCTGCACCTTGACATAATGAATACAAATTTCAAGTTTCATAAATAGCACCTGATGTTTCTGAGATGTACACAGGTAGGGAGCCCCCAAACCAGATCAGATATGGCTTTGGTCTTGAAATTATTCATTATTTGTGCCCAGTAAGCCATTACTATGTCAATCTGGAGTAAGACAACTTACTTGTTATTTGCTCTGACGGTACTTCAAGCTGCTGCTGTCTGTTTTATTGGGTCTGAACACTGAAGAAAACTAAAATACCTATCAGTGTAGAAATTATCAATAGCTGCCAAAAATGATTCCTGATGAGCTAAACTGATCTCTGACTGCCCAAGCTAAGGGATGGAGTCATTCGAATTTTGCAGCTTCATTTTATTTCCATAGGTGAATTTACTGAGTTAAATTCAGACTTTGTGTCACTTAAAAAGGAGCTTGAATCTATCAGTAAATCTACTTTATGATAATTTTTGTTAAGTGAAAATCTGGCAGAGAGTCTGAATTCCTTTCTTATTTTCATGCAGATGTTGCTTTTCCTCATAAATGGAAAAACATCTGTTTTACATAAACCCTGCAACAGCTTTACCTTTCTAGCATGCCTGGTGCTTTGACATCTGCCATCTGCTATCCACTTTGGAACTGATAACAAATCCATTTTGAGAAAGGTTTCCATAAACAATAAATGTCCTAGGTACTACAATAGTAAGTGCTAGTTTGGTTTGAAGTAATCAAAATAAAAAGTCCTTTAACAGCTCATAAAGTCTGGAAAAGCCTATAGAGGAACAAAGGCGCAGACAGAAAAAAGAACAACCAAATATGCCATTAAACAGAGAGAACTGAATGGAGTGTAAACTGTGCTGTAAGATAATTTCTAAAATAGCTGCTAGACCTTCTAGAATTAAAACCAGTAGAACTCCTAACAGCATGTGGAAACCATGCTGTGAGTGGAATGAAACCACAGTGTGATGAATTGCAAAGAATAATGCTTTGGACATCCAGAAAATTGAAGGTTTCAAATGCTGACCACTCAAGCATCCATCTGCTAGTAACTTTTTCTTACACATAATAATAGAATGATTGATTTGTTTATTTATATGAAATCTTTGATTGTGGAGCCCTGTTTTTCTAAATATTCACAAATACTGTCAGGAATAAATTCCAAGGAGACAGATTTCTTTATGCATAAGGATGTACAGAAGACTCATCTATGTTCTTTTAGTGCACGTTCTGTGCATTTACTTAGCTTACTGGTAACCATTCTATGTATGTCTGAAAATTGCATCAAGTTGTCTATGGAAATTCTCACCTACAAGATCTCCACATATCTGCCTCAAAACTACTTCCTGCAGTGGTTTGCCTCTTCTTTCCCTTAATCATCTGCAGAGCTTGTCTCTACTTCACATATGCTTTTATTGGCTTAGCATACTCACATCCCTACTTTATCCCACTTTTTTACATTTTTACTGTTCACCTGCTATTACTTGGTGAGGGGCTAGTTTACGAGGCAGCCTGAAAGACCAACCTAAAAGTTGCCACGAGAAGCTTGTGTCTGGTACTATGTGTACAATTTTATATCAAGCTTCTGGTTCAAACTCTTATGGGAAAATGATAGTTCTGTCTTTTGGGCTTTCTTCAAAGACTTTTAGGAAAACTAAATAGTTAGAAAGTTTAGAGGGAAAAGGAACTGTTAAGTTCAATCCACTTCTCTGAAAACTCAAACATGATATAGTGACCTACCTTTATCTGTACTGATTAAAAAAAGAAAAAAAAGAAAAACTTTTTTTCTTCTTAAACACAACTTGAACTCTGGAATAAAATGACCAATTTTGATTTTTTTAATTAGTAGCTCATGAAATTGCTACATAGTTGAATAATTAATTACTCACAGAAGGTATCACTCATTCAGCAAAGGTATTTTAGGTAATATCGGAGATTTGCGTATTTTCAGGTATGTTTTTTTAATGTATATTGTCTCTGATTCTCTTCTGTCTAGTATTATGTAGCACACCACAGAAGTGAGGTACTGTAAGTTTAATTATGGTTTTCTCCAGTGTTAAGCTTTGAAATTTTACTTTTAGGTGAAATGATTGACTTGGCAGGAAGTAATGAAATAAATGGTAATAAATCCTGTTCTATTTAAGTATAGCTTATGTAGGAAAATTACCAGGTAAATTAGCATGTATTTTAGATGTCTGGAAGGTTAAAAGACAGTGTTAGAGAAGAAAAAAATTTAGAAGAATCAATAATAAAGTTAGTACATGGTAATGTGAAATCAAAAATAGAACTAAATACTTTTAAAACCATAGGAAAAAGATACACATGGAAAACCTGAGTTCTAGAAAGATTTAGAGCAGAAACTATAGCTGCCATAATGAGCATCTGTTGTGTTATGGTGGTTAAAATTATCACATTTCTGGGGGCCATATTAAGTAGAAAAATTTCCCAGTGAGAATGAGTCACTCTGTATTTGTTAATGAAATAACTACACCAAGTATAGGATTTTTTTTCTACACCTGAAAGCCCTTCCGGAGGGTGAACTGGAACCCTAATGGTCTTAACAAAGTCAACGTTTCTTGTCTTAAGAAACATACTTAAAAAAAAAGTCAGTTAATGGCTATAGCTGAAACTTGACTAGTCAACTTTCACTCTGTCAACACTTCTTTTGATTCACTCTTTATTACTGAAAATTCTTTTTGTGAGCAGATCCCATAAATTTAATAGAGGAGTTTTTGCATGATGTTAGGGTGTGATTCAGGTTCACCTTGCTGAATTCACCACTTAGTGGTGGTGGCCGTATCTGTGACATAGAAAGTCAATTCCTATTTTACACTTCGTTAATCAATATATGTTAGCACCTACAGTCTCTGTACACTTATTAGAACTAAATAAGAGAGAATCAAGTGGCTGCTTTACTGTCAAGTCATGCCTAAGTTTTAGTTCTAACATTTCAGGTCGCATTACCAAATACTTTCAACTCTACATGACTAACTTAAGTCAAGCCCTTACTAAGTATACAAAATGCACTTAGTAAACTACATTATAGAATCACAGAATCATAGAAACAAGTTGGAAGGGATTGTAAAGGCCATGTATTTGCAATTCCCTTGCCATGGGCACAGACATATTCCTCCACATCAGGGTGCCTAAAGCCCCACCAACCTGACTTTGAACACTTTCAGGGCATCCACAATTTCTTTGGACAACTCATTCCAGTGCCTCACCATGCCTTTCTCTATCTTTCTTGGAGGCCTCCTATAAATTCTGGAAGGCCACTTAAATGTAATATGTAACAGAATTATAGAATAATGCCTAGAGCCTTCACTTCTCTAGGCTAAACATATGCAGCATCACAGGCAATAGCTATGTCTATCAAAGGAAATTCTGTCTCATCCATTTTGCAAATATATTTATGGCTTAATACAGTACTTTATTTCCTATGGGTTTAAAAATAACAAATATTCAGTAGGCCAGAGGTGACAAAGATTTCAGAAGTTATTTGAGGGCAAGAAATTATAACTGATCCCTGGTCTGAGAGACTAACAGTTGAAATAGGACTAATTAGCATTTCCTCTGGGAACAATATTTGTGTAGTTATATTAATGGGACATTCCACTACAAGTCATTTCACTAGTTTTGCGGCAGTGCATCAGCGTAACTAGACATATCAGATTTTGGTGATCAGTTATTTCTGTTTCAGGGGATATGTATTCATCACTCATATTTTGTGGTACCCCATCATGTGCTTTTAGAAAACCAGAAGCCTTTTTTACACACTGAAAATGTGAGATCCGTTTTCACATGCCTTCAAACTGTATGGAATTTCCTAAATTAATGTAGCTGCTTAGAAAATCCTTCATGCAGATTTGCAATTCTAAACCTTGTCTCCAGATGGAAGATATCACACTGATGGGACCAGATACTTAATATGCAAGAGCTTAAAATATTCAACGTATTTTAAGAATTCTAAATTTTTAATGCTTAAAATACCAGTCATTTTCCAGCAACCCATGCTACTTTCTAGAATCCAGTGCCAGAATTTCTTTAACAGTATACATGAAAGACCTACAGCACTGAAAACAACGAACCAGAAAGATCTGAAACATACTTTAATTAGTGTTTGGGGGTCTTAGTGTATCTGTTAAATTCAATGTTTTCAGAGGCAAAAAAGGCATATGTATTTCATATTCCTAATGTTATGAACAGTGACTGACTAGTAACAAATACTAAACTTGAAACTCTTAAAAATGTTTAAGTCTCCCCTCTGGTAGCAGCATCTTGCATCCAGATATTCTCTTGGGGGGTGCACTCGAAAGTGGGATATGGGAGATGACCTTTGACAACTTCACTAATTTCTTTCTGTGGGACAACATTCATCCTGTCCACAAGGTTTCCTATTTAGCTCCTGCTACCTTTCAGTTCTATTTATGAAGGTTTACACCAAGAAGGGGACTACTAGGTAGTTTATGACAAGATCACTGCTGCAGATGTTTGGTACCTACTGTGATTTGTATCACCCATTTGAGCCTCAGCCACAAAGCTGCAGTTTTTATCAGAAATATCTGTGAATATATAACTGCTCTGAAGACATATGGTCAATAAATAATTCAGTTATCTATCTTCCCTGCAGATTTCTCATGCACCTACCACCTATTAATGCTTAGTTGGTCTGGAAACAATATTCTTTATGGCACTACTAGTATAAAAATGTACTGACTGGCAGCAGACTGTTGATTTCCATTGTGATACCTTCAAAATAAACTGTTTCCCACCCCAGTCTCTATCTACTATGCTTTCCCATCTGCTACCTGTCCAGAGATGCCTTGTTTTGTATTTTATGTCCCTAAAAACATCTATTTCCAATTATCAATTCCAGTATCGCACCAGTGTGATTATATTCATGATTGTATTTTCTCTCCCTCTCCCCCATCCCTTTGTTCTTTTTTCAGCTCTATATCCATTTACAGTCCCAAGGAGAATCCTAATGCATTTGATGCTGCTGCTTTCTTTCAGTCAGTGGGAAATTTTCTGGGGATCTTTGCTGGATCGTTTGCTATGGGATCCTCTTATGCAGTTGTCACAGCTTTAATATCCTTTATGGTTCATTTTCAGAGAGAAAATCTGTATGCGTGATATCTAAGACTGACTATCTTTACTTTCAGATTGAACCTTTCCACTCTTCACTCAAGATTTCATAAACAGTCAAATCATAAATTGACAAGTCATTTAATTCACAAAGAACTTAAGTCAATCTCCAAATGTTGTGCAAATCTCTTTAACATTAGGCATGACAGCGGTCTTTATTGTTTGTAAATAATGAGATGCTGAGGTTTTGAAGTATTCAGAGATTAAATTATGAATTTATGACTACATTAATGTATTTAAAAATTACACACTAGCAGCAATCAAAGAAAAATGCACGGCAAACTCCCAACTACAAAACAAGACAAACTAAGCCTGCCTAAAATAGAAATAAAAGGCACATATATTGCCTGGCACTTTTTGTTTTATTTTACAGTTATTCATGTAAAACACTATAAAGTAGGAATAACACCAACTTTCATCTTTCTCATTCAGCCTCAATATAAATGTGAAACAAATGCCAGTCAATGCAGAGCTGGACAAAATTAGTTTCTGCCCCCTTTTTCCAGGAAAATAAAATAAAACAAACCAGTTAGGCACTAGTTCAAAAACTACAGAAATACTTCAAACAGCAGGTTTGTTGAATTCATTTATATCATCTTCCCTCCCTAGCCCCATCATGGGGACAATTTTAGCTTAAAAAACAGTTGCTTTTTACTTTTCCTTATTAAGTGTTTCAGCACTTGACAAAATTTACAAAGCTGTGTGACTTCCCCATGTTGGAGACAGGTCTGTTTTTCCTCCTATCTTGGAGTGCCTTCTTATCAGCAGAAGCTGCTGGTCTCACAGGTAAGTGTTGCATTTTACTGAATAAAAGCAGTTTAACGATATACCTCCTAACATGGGAAAATTGCATGTTTATTTTGGGCATGACATCATCTTACATAAAAAGCTTCCAAAAGCCAGCTGCTGTACTAGAGATTGTTTCATCCCCAAGAAGAAGTCTGTATGGACACTGAACAGTTCTACAAGAAAAAGGCTTACTAAATCAGGCTAAAGTCCTCAGTCTTCTCTCCTGCCTACCTACAATTTCCCATCATTCTACCAGTCCCGTTAGTAATCCACTATTTACTGCTCGCTATAGGGCCAAAGATGACAGTAAACATGAGGAACAAAATATACAGCGCTGTGTGACATACACTCTTAGGGATGATGTGCTCCTCTTGATTCGATGGATGTCCTGGTACCTCCTGGTTTCCCCACTATCAGTGACCAAATGGAGGACAGGGCTGCCCTCGACATTGCCAGTGGGGTGCAGCCACTTCTGGATTTTTCTAAAAAATAATTCATCTTGTTTGGTGTGCCTATGTAAATACCTTTCACAAAAGGAGTAAGTTACTGTTGCATCCCAGTGAAAGGTGAAAAGACAGATCTGATTGCTTTTTTTTCTATGAAATTGCACAATCATAGTCAAGGACATACCCAGGGACTGCTTTTAGCAACATAAAGAGTCCACACAAATTAAGGCAAAAGTCCTAAATGCACATAGATTATCTAAATAACAAACTACCGCACAATATGATTTGAAAGAACAAACTTCATAATAGCTTGATCATTTTAATGGCCTTGATGCTGTCACCTTTAAAATCTAGTGCTCTAATTAATGTCATAGAAAGCCAGGGGAAGAAAACTGTTTAATGAAGTGTTAATGCAGCCCATGCTGTTTTGTTTGCAAAACTGTTCAAAGCCTTTCTGAAGTCAAGAGTTATATTTCCATTGAGTTCTGAGGAACCAGCATGCTACCTCTTAAATCTTAGCCACACAAATTACTTTCAAATTAGTATTACACCTGTATCTGCCAACATCTTTGCCTTATTAAATATAAAATCCCGTGCCCTGATTCCTGCCATAATATTCAGGACAATGGATACAGTGAAGGGTGCAAGAACCGAATGAAAGTCATACATTCCAACACATGGAGAAAATCAGATATCACCTGGATTAAAAGCCCATTTTGTTTCTTCATGCTTAATGACTCTTCAAAATGCGATATGATTACTAAAAAATTGCCAGAGAAGGATGATAATCGCTTGCCTTCAACTGGAGGTAATGATTTCCTAAACCACTGACTTACAAGGAAAGATGCTTTAAAATACAGTCCTAGCAGAGAAGTATACTGCGTTTCATCAAGGAGAAAATGCATACTAAGTTATACATTAAATCCAAAAAGTGAATTTGTAAGGGAAATAGTTTTACTTTTTATAGCCTTAGGCGCTCCATCAAATGTAAGTAATGTTACATTTGTTGTGCACAGGAACAAACCTCACCCAGAAAAAAGAAAAAACTGTCATGTGTCTTTTGCATGTTGCAAGTGTGATGACAGTGGAGACTCTCCAGGTAGTCAATGTGAAGAGCATTTTATTTCTCTTTTGCTTTACAATCTATTAAATACTTAAAATAAAAAGCTTAATTATTGAACAATAGGAAATTCTTACACTAGCCTTGGCAAGGAATTTTAAGCATACTTACATTACAAATATTAAACATAATATTATAATATAATATAAGCACTGTTGTGAGGAGGCAAAGTTTTATCAGTAAGGATTTGTCATGACTGCTAAGTCAAAACAGGGGAATACTACAGTAAGAACAGCGTTAATATACCTGCTTTCTAACCTCCATTAGAAAGTATTTACATGCAGGCTACAAGAAAGTAAGCATAAATAATTCGAATACTTGTCAAAATAAATGAAAGAAACACATCTTGCTTATATTATGATCCATCCCTGGAGGCATTAAATGCAAGGCTGGATGTGGCTCTGGGCAGCCTGGTCTAGTGGTTGGCAACCCTATACACAGGGGGCTTGAAACTAGATGATCACTGTGGTCCTTTTCAAACCAGGCCATTCTGTGATTCTGCATGATTCTGTGATTAATTGCTTACTCTCCATCTCATTAACAAAATGCTTAACTGATCAAGAAATCAATAGTCTATGAAAGATTCCATGATATATGTGGGTATTTAATGTCCACCTCAGTTAGGCTCTCTGCATCTACAGCTGTTTTAACTAAGTAGATACTCAAACTGATATATATATATATATATATCTTCAGAAATGCATTCAAATCTGTGTATGTATTTGTTTAATGCATACTTCAAAGTCACATAGAATTTAGCAGTGTAAAAGCATCAGAATCAATTGCTCTACTTCTCTAGTGTCTCCTGAACATGTGTGAGGTGTGAGATACTGTATGAGTTGTGTAGGTAAAGAAGGATTTCTTAAAATCTTTTCTGCTTTTTATTTTACATGCCAAAGACCTATTCACAGAATCTCAGACAATAGGTCTCAAAGGAAAATTTTGGAGGAGATCATCCACCCCAGCCCAAAATGTTTTCTGATTTTTATGAAGGAAATAGTTTGTGATGTAAATTATTGCTGCTCCCTTACCCCCTGCAATTCTTGTCTGAGTGTTTCATGATGTATCTGACGCCTACCTTCTAATTCAGGGGCTAACATGGGAGTACAGTCTACCTAATGAGGAGGGTTTTCCTCCAAAAATAAGCAAGCAGTTTAGCAAGAGACAGATATACCTAGTCAAAATAGAGACTCCAAATGAGCTGGTCCATTGGGCGGTTTTGGGCTACCTTTGTAATTAGGGTATAGCAAGAACAAATGCACCAATTCCCAGTTCCTTTATTAATGCTGATTAAGTGCATTAATCCCCGTGGCTGTTCACTGCTCCCATCTGTTTGCTGTAATTTGCCTCAGATCCATCCTTTACTTCATTGCCTTATTGAACTGTTGGGACCAGTTCTTCACCTTTTATCCTTGTCAGAAGGGATTATCATATATCCTTCCCTCTGCAATTCTGAGCAGTGCGAACACAATGCAGTTCAGTACCCAACTGTCTACACATGCTTTGCTGACATAAACGCTAGATCCAATACTCTGCAGTTTCAGTTATCCCCCTTGTCCTTGCAACAGCCTCACCTGACTAGTCTATATATAGACTATATATATATATATATATACACACATATATATACATACACACACACTTCAGCCAGTGCCTGGGTTTGACCAACATGGGAGTTGCTGCTGGTACAGCATTTTAAGACAGTAAAAGAAGAGGAGAAAGGTCTTTGCTTTTACTGAAAAGGGCAACATGTTCTTACATGGCATTAGGCTGAGACTGATGATCAGTTGCCTAAAATTAAAACAGTAACACTAAGCTGAGGGTAAGAACCCATGTAAATCTGAGGTGTTACTCCTAGACAATATTGTATGCATAAACAGAATAACAACTCCTATCATGTCTACAATAAAACCTAGCATGTCTCACCACAGGAGTTCCAACCTAAACTGAACGCAGTAACATTTTTTAGAGTTGCAGAAGTACAACATTGAAGCTCTGGTCGTATTTGAAGCAGACAGGGGCAGTATCATGGCTTATTCCTCAGATGAGGACACACAAGATTCCCTCAGATATGTCTTTTGTTGTTTTCTGTCACCTTAATTCACTTCAGCATAAAATCAACTTAAGACAACTCCAGTGATTAAAGCTCTGTGAACAAAGCAGGAGCTCTGGTTCTGCATTGGTGTGGGTCCAGTGAAAGACGACTTAAACCTTTGCTTCAGAATTAAGAAAATGATCAGTCACACTCTGATATTATCACTGTTGGGTTCATAGCCTTGTTACTGCAACAATTTGATGCAGAAGACAGTGTCTCATTTCCTGTCACAGCCTCAGATTGCACTGGAATATGCCTTCTAAGCTGTGTGGAGGTTTTCTGACACAAATATAACTCCACATTGTTTGATTTATATAAACTCTCCTGTCTTTTCCTACATTTCTCTGCCTTTGGTGCAGGATTGGTTCCTCTCACTTGTACTTTGGCATGTGAATGTTAGGAATCATTAAGAGGCATCCCTGAAGCTCTGGAACACTTCAAAGTTGTGATGAAAACCTGTCAGTTTACCTGCACATCTTTCCACAAATTCTACATTCTATCTAATCATTCCCTCCTTTGTTTCCCCAGAAGGTAGGGTATTGGGTTTTGTTTGTTTTCTAAATTCTTACTTCTACCATTAAAGGACCTGACAGCCACAGACACAATGACAGGTTTTTTTTCCTCTAAAATTACCAAATAATGTTCAAATTTTGTCCCATCATTTCTAGACTTGCATTAAAAACACACTCCAGACATGCAGCACCTCTCTGAGAAAATATGGGACTTTATTCTCCATTATAGCACCAATTATTGAAATATGAGGGTATATTACTTTGCCTACTTGTGAAATATTACATAATGGATATTTATTCTCTTTTGCTCACAATAGAAATTTTAAGATTAGCATTTATTTTTACACACGTTAACATTTGCCCTTCCTATATTATCCCTGAACATTAACAGGAATTTCAACTACAGGTATTCAGTAAAACTACTCTAAGATATCAAGTTACATTAACTGCTAAAAAGCGGTTTCTCTGTTAGATAAGGAGCAAAAAAAATCCAGCACAATGGTATGCTTTTATGCTTAATCAAACTTCTTCAAAGAGCTTAAGCTGCAGCTGAAACTTCTCTGGTGTCTAGCAACTGTGATGTGAGGTTTCCCATTTTTTATATCAAGTGAAAATTGTCAGTAACTTTATCTATAGAGAGACAAGAAGCTGTAATACACTCAACAGCTCATTTCCCATTTCATCTCTAAACTTCTGCTCAGGTTAACCTGCACTGCAAGTGTAGTACAAAAATTGTCTGTAATTGCTGACTTTGCCACTTAACAAAGGACATACCATAACAACACTGAAATTGAGCCAGACTCCAGACCCCTGAAATTACAGCACTGGCTGGTAGAGGGGACCACCTCACTTTATCTGCCTCGTTGCATCTAATAAATTCTTCCTGTTTACAATTTCAGCATTATCACATTTGCTCTCCTCTATTTCTTTCAAAAAAAAAAAAAAAAACCTGCAAAAATTTGACAACTCAATTTATGTTCCATATTCTATTTTGCAATCCAACTAACTTCAGAAATCAGCTTCTATAGTCTTACAAAGAAGGAAATCCAAATTTCATTTATTTTATTCCATCTAATAAGACCCCTGTTCACCTCTTGAGGTACTGTGCTCCTTTATTCTTTACAGTTACACTAGCATGCAATTGATCATTATCACCCTTAAGTTACCATTTTTAATAAAATGGAATTTTTTGCAAGCTTTTTAACGAAGCATTCATTGTGAATGGCATGGCAGGCTAACACTTATTTCCAACAGTAGCAACTGAAATATTCCACTGCGTTCCTGGCTTTCTGGTTTCTATGCTTGCATAATTACAAGGTTTGGATAAATTATTACTATTGTAAAATCAGATTTAGGGTATTTTGTTCTTTAGGTCACTCTCTCAGTTCTCTTGCTGCCAATAATTAACAGTTTCTTAGCAGTCCAAAAACACTGTACAATCATCACTGAACCTAATAGTGAATTTTTTTTTTTTTTTAAATACTCGACTTGGCAGAATGATGATTTGAATAAAGTGAACCACAAACTCTCATCTCTTTTCCAGTTACTGAGCCATAAGCTAGCAGTACTTAGGAACATTACTGACTAGGTATGATTTTTTTTTTTTTTTAACTGAATCTTCACTGTTTGAGCATCCCATTGCATATGAGAGCACCTTGAGAACTTACAAACTCCCCAGATTACATCTGCACGATAGTACACTTAGTGGGAAAAAAAAGATTTAGTCTTAATTAAGAGATCAGTTATACCTCAATAAGAGCAATGAATTTCCTGGAACATATTTGGACATTTACAGCCTCACCACTACCAACATTACTTACTGGAAAGAAAGGCCTTAGTGCAGTTAGAATAAGTAAATAAATATCAAAACAGGCATAAGAAAATAGGTACAGTAAAGAAAGACAGCAGCTAAAGCTCAGTATGATTTCTCTTGGCTACAGAGACTGTGTAATGTAGAAAAAAATACAGACAAGTTTATGATATAAAGAAAGCCCAGATGCAAAGAAAATGTTCGTGCTGTATCATGGGGAAGAAAAAAGAAAAAAGATTTGCTGTATCATTTTCTTCCCTGGTGCTAAGCACATGTTACTATTTTGTTCCTCCATCTTTCATCAAGTGCATTTTAATGCCTGGCCTCTCTACTTCCCTGCAACAAGAGAGGCTTGCAACTCAAACACAGTTGGGTTTTTTGGGCAGTATTTCCACAGTTAGCAATCCAAAGACTCAGGAACTTGAGAAAAATATGATAAAATGATGATGACTAACTGGTATGGGTTGATGTGATCTTACCCCACATGTGAAATAGACAGCATTATCCTTTTTCTTGTTTTCTGACCTCTACCTTGATTTAGAGAAAGAGGATATTCCATCTACTACAGAATCTCTAAAACTAGAAGGCTAGGTTCAAACTTAGAGGTTTGAATAAACTCTTTAAGAAAGTATTGGGCGACTATGTTAAGCTTTGTCTACTTCTATTAATCCTTTTGAAATAACAGATTGTTTTACACCTGTGTTGCTGTACCAAAGTCCACAGTGCTGTAGATTCTGTCCTCCAAGTCCCTTCTTGCCAGCCTTTGTAATTTCAGGAGCCACAGTGCTGAAGAAGATGAAGGAGGTCTTATCCAGACTCAAGGCCAAGACTGATGGCACAGAACTGGATTATATTTCACAATTTTAGTTCATATTGTTTGTTTCCAGTAGAACTTATTAATATGATTAAGTTCATGCTAATTTAACACTGTGAAATTCTAGAAAGTCACTGTGTAGTCACATTGCACGACCCTGGGCTGGTATATTTTTGCTTCCTTTGTTGCTTCAGTGAGTTTTCCAGAATTCACCAGCACTATTTCAGTACGTCAGCATCTATGAGCTAAAAATTACCTAACAATACACAGAATGGTCCACAAGGAAGAATTTTAGTGCCAATTCAGACATGCTGTAGACCTTAGATGGGAGGCAACAAGTAGAAGGGCTGAAAAGCTAAAGATCTAAAACACTTAGAATGGATGGCAGAAATCTGCCTGTATCAGAGTCCTGAAGATGACAGGCCTGCTATGATCATCCTGCAAGCTAGCTCTGTACAGAACCAGTGGATGTTGTGGAGGTGTGCATAAAGAAACCACATAGAACTTGCATGCTCTATGGGCTTCAAGAAATGTGGGTGGAGGTTTTTGTGGAAATGGTGATTGGAATGAGCATAATGAACAAGCCCTGAGCTGTGGTGCAAGTAATTACCAGGTAGACATGCCCTAGGCTTAAAAAAGATACATAGTTTTTTTCTTGTATGGATATTTACATATGGATACTGGTAAGCATTTATTTCTGAATTTCTACTTTGTGTGGGTTCTTTCTGCTTTTCCTGTTTCCAGAGCTGGAAAAAAATTGAGGTTGCAGTCATATCAGCTACTCTAATTAAAATAGTGCATTGCAGTGATGCAACTCAATGGTTCTAGTGATATAGGAGCAGGCTCAGCATTGGGGAGAAAGTATTTAAAAATCCCCATCAGTTCCATCACTGCCAAAATTTTCATCTAGTCTGAAGTCCTTCATATTGTAAGTATGTTAATCTTTCCTAATGGTGAGATTATGATTAGATACCATCCAAGAAGGTTATCAGGTTTGCTGGGCAAATTAAGCAGCAGCAGCAGTGCTATAAATGTGTGATAGCCATGTTGAAGATTCAAGATCTCTATGATTTTTAGCAAAGAAAAAATATCTACTTCGAAATATATTCTTATAAAACATATCTCATAGTTCTTTTGTTACAAAAATCCTTTCAGCAATATAGTAACCTTTTTTATGCAGCCTTTTGAAAAATCTTAGAAAGGAAATAGAAGCTGCTAACCATCTTTTCTTTGCATTTCAGGTATTGTTGCAGTTCTTTTCTGCGGAGTCACACAAGCCCATTATACCTACAACAATCTCTCATCAGATTCCAAAATGAGAACTAAACAGGTAGGATATGGAAATAACACTGTGTCTTCAACATGTACAAGGAATAGACAGAATCTGAAATGCAGCTGGATGGAATTCTGTTAGTGCAACTGAAAAGGTCTATGTCTTCAATAGGGAAAGATGAGATTTTTCTGGGGAAAAAGTAACAGTTCTCTGGCCAGACAAAAATGTAATAATCTGTTCTTCCCAAGATACCTGCAATGTCACTCAAGGAGATAAAGTGTAAAGAGATAATAGTTCAGATCAATTTCCATAGAAAAAGGCCACAAGTTTAAGAAAGTCTAAGAGCTCCACTAAACAAGAGAAAAGCATTCTGGAAGGTGAGATCCATGTGCATTTTCGTAAGAGGACTAAAAACTGCAGTCCAGCCCATTGTCTTTAGTGATGACATCACTTAATTTCCACTCTGTTAAAAATCTGCTGTAATTAGAAAATAGTAAATAATAAAATGGAAATTATTTTTAAGTTCCAAGATGAAAACCTACAGGACCTGTTTTAGTTTGAACGAGTAGTAAAATTGCTGAAAAGCATGGGGCTGTTCTCAGTACCAAAGAGATGGCATTGCAATGGTGGAAATTCCCAAGCACAAGGATTGGATTCTTCCCAGCAGAAGGATTAAAGTCAGACTACATTGTTGCTCCCTCATTCCTGTGACAAGTCATTTGAATGTTGTTTGCTTCACTTTCAATGTTGATTTGTATGTCCCAAATACCTCAGACTATAGAAAATCCGTCTCCTGGAACAAAATGAAAATATATGGTCCAATGCTACAATTTCCATTAAGCAATCCAGTAACTTTTTCAGCAATTCCTCTGTTTTAAGCATTAGAAATAGAATACAGAAACTTTTACCTCTTCTTGCACATCTCAAAATCAACTTAATCAAAAATCCAATTTTCTATCAATAACAGTTTGATAGAAAAAAAAAATACTGGCCACAGTATTACTTCAACTGTCAGACTCTTACAGATTTTAAATCAGAAAAAGTTTCCAGTCAGTACTTGCAGAATAAAATGTTAGCAAGTGAACAAGATAGGTCTTATCAATTGCATTTCTTCGTACCAGGGGAGGCTGAGAGGCTGATGCTTTGAGAAAATTTTCTAGCAGAGAAGGGGACCTTTCTCTAGTGAATGTATTATAAGAATAGCATTTATATCTACTATAGAATTGCTTTTATTTTGCAGAAATGCTGAATTCCATATAGTATTATTACACTTGCATATAATTGTTAAACTTTGAATACAGATCCCTATTCCAGGCATTCATCTGCATGATTTAGTGATACATAGCCAGAGAGAGATTGGCCATTGAAATTTTAATTACATATGAATCTTTTCAACTACAGAAATAACCAACATTTAGTTTAAATGCATACTGGCTTTGTTTGTTTTCACGCTTTTATTTCCAGTCATTCAGTTCCAAACAGAATAGTGAAAACAGGTTGAATCTATGCTTGAATACACAGGAAAAAAACTCCGTATTTCATTATGAAACTATGAGTTTTATGCACTCCTTCTATTCCACTTTTCTCTACCAGCATAAGCTCCAAATCCTTAGCATGTCTGAGGATAGTCCAAAAACTCCTCTGAATTCTTCTAATTTATTTTCTATTCCAGATTTCCCTTTCACACATAGCTGTTTCAGTGATATCCGCACTCCCCTTTTCTTCCCTTCCCCCCAAGTATTATCTTGAAGAAAATTTACTAAACCACACACTTTATCATCATCATAATTATGTACAACGTTATTGCATTACAAATGGATATTGTTGCTAAGACCGATGGCCTCGCTCCCAAATTAAATCATTTTTATTGCTATTTACTGGCCAAAAAAGATGACTTTTTAGTTCATTTATATAATTATTCCAGGGCACTCTTTTTTTTTTTTTTTTTTTTTTTTTTTTACAATATGACAGGTCTTTCAGTATGGACTGGTGAGCTGCAGTGCACACTAACAAGACAATGAGTTGAGACTGAAGTTAAACTAATTAAAAAAAAAAAATCAGAAATGGGATATAAAACTGTAAATCAAACTGTGAAATCAGGTTATTTGCCTAAAGACTAATGCTTCTTCCCTATTGTCTTGCATAATTTTATTTACAGTTTCCACTGCCTGTTAAAATTTCATAGCTCAATGATAAAATCCAGTATACAGTGACAGTGTTTGAGGCTGTGCCGCTGAGTTCTGCATTTCTCATAATACCTCATCACTAGCTCTAAAGAGCACATGAGAAAAAAGACAGGTATGATTTTCTTCATATAATAACATCAAATTCAAGCCTACCTTTTGTTCTTAAACAAGAATTTGGAGCTCTATTAAGAGCACCTGTTAAAGGATGCCATATAATTATTAGTCCCCATGTATTCTTTATTATCCAGTCCATCACTGCCTAATATCTGATAAAAGAGAAATATTACATTTTAAGGATCTGAAACTTACAGAAGCTGAAAGTAGCAGGTAATGTAGATGTTGTCATAGACAATGGATTATTTTAACGCTGCCATAAGATGAAAGATTTAGTGAAAACACAGATTTTAGAGAGTTTTCATTCGATCCAAATGTCCCAAGTCTCACTAAATATTAATACAAATTCTCCCTGTGTTCTTACTGCTTGTTTATTATCGTGAGTAATGTTTAATGGTAGTATTTTTAGGTCATCATCATCAACCTGATTAACATCATAATGACTGTAGCATTAAAATTGACACCCCTTCCATGCCAACAAGATTTGGTCAGAGAGCTCTTGAGCTCAATGCATATAAATTAGTCCATTATATCTTCAGTGAAGGAGAAAGTGGGACTGCTAACACTTTATCGAAAGTTATTTGATCTTGTGCAGTTTTATTTAGAATTATTTACAGCCACTAATATAACCTCACAAAAAGCTGCAGGCAAATATCTGCTTCCAAATCTTAGGACATTGTAGCCCAGATTTCACATTGGGTACCTCAGAGATACAGTTCTATTGGTCTGATTTGCTTAGGTACAAGTAAATCGGGGACTAGACAGGATGTTGCTAGATAAAGAGAAATTACCTGTTTGCTGACAGTGGGCAGACCATAAATTTGTACAGCTCAGCTCTCGAACAGGACTCATGGACAATACTGTACCTTCCACAGGAAGATAAGATATTCTTCACTATTTTTTTTTTTTTCTTTTTTTGTCTCCGCACTCCAGCATTTTCACTCAAACACCAGGTGTAGATCAGCATATTTTCCTAATGATGAAGTATTAAGAGAAGTTTTTAACTTTTTCTAACAGCTATAAATATCCAACAGACTTATGAGTTTGCTCATTTCCTAATTGGTTTTTTTTTCCCCCCCTTTAATTTCGTGGGATAAACACAACAAAGAAACCAAAGAACAGAGCAGTGCCTCTCTTTGGATAAATGCACAAAGGTCTTTGCTTTCAGACAAAATACTGTGCCAGAAAGTTATAAATTCTGGAAAGGAAATTAAGAAACCCATCTCCTATGGAAGCAGTGGAAAGTACAGCAAGTTATGTCCAGCCAACAAGGGATTATGTTGCATACTACCCTACCTGTCTCCATTTATTCCACCAGTCTAATCCTTGTTTATGTAGCGACCTCTGAAACACTTGTATCTATCAAGTTCATGAGAGCTGCTTTCTGAAATTAAGTGCAAGAGCCTTTCTTACTGCATTATTTGTTAAACAGTTACTGTTCCTGATAGCAAACCATTTTGTGAACACCTGTCCTTACAGAGAAAAGCTTCTGGCCTGATTGTTCAGCTGCGCTGGGAGTGCAGTATGTACAAGATGTCATGTTAAGATTTCGATGGCCCTTCACCTTCAAAGTCTTTACACAAGCTTGAGAACAGGGCAAAGGTAAAAATGAGAACTGCATAACTTCTGAGAAACTTTAAAGGAGCACTTGATGTTAGTAGAACTACTTCAGCAAATTAACTGATGCTGAAGGATTGAAAATTCAGACAGCAATCTTAGTTCTTTGCCCACTGATGGACATAGTACTGATTTATTCAAATTTTCATCTCCACACTTTAATGCAGACATGATTATCTCTGATTGTGGAAAGTCATCACCTTGTAGAGAAGTAGCTAATATCATCTGAAAATCTCTTTAAAATACATTTAGTTTTCAAAATTTGTTAAGCTCATTTATGACATAGCTATACATTTTTCATCAAGTTCAGGATTAATCAGCTATTTTCTATATCAGAAATTGACCTGTATTGCAGGCAGTTGGGTGTAGCAAAATATCTATTTTTTTAACTCATCAAAAATGAAATCAAATCAGTATAGTCTCTCGACCCTGATCTGCTACTAAGCAGCCTTGACACAATTTATAGTTTGCTGTTCCACTTTTAATTATAGACTGAAGCAAACTGGAACATATCTGAACAAATCTGAACAGCAGAATATCACTTAGAAAGTCAAGTACCACAATGAATAAGTCCAGATCTACTGGAAGAGGGGGGAAATCTCTAAATTAAAGGACTGGTTCCTGAATAGCATCAGACTGCTTAATAAAGTAAGTATTCTAAAGGAATGGAGGTAGCTAGAGTCAGCTTTTAGCTGACTGTGTCCAGGTGAAACACCATTACTGTGAACTAGTCATTCTACTGCAATTCTGCTGGCCTATCACTGTAAACAAGTTACAGAAAAGTAGAATGACAATTTGAACAACAGATCTCTCTCTGGATACACAATGTAGTACTATTCTTCAAGATTCTTATCAGCTGTCTTTTCCTAAGAAACAACATACTGCAAATTCTGCTCCAGTGGCAGATTGCTTTCACCTGAGTTTGTAGCTGTTGTTAGAACACACCAGGAGTGCAGCTTCTGTTTGTCTTCCCTGTGAGAGAAGGGGAGTGGCAGTGGAGATGGCCTTGTCCTACTGCAGCCACAGGCACACCAACGTGCGGCTCTCAGGGGTCCCACTCTGGACATCCTGCACTTAACCTCTGTTAGGGAGAGGCACAGGAAGCAATAATGCAGTGCCCCATAGCTTAAAGCCTCCACA